GTTTTTCCACTTCTGGAAACAAATCCCACAGTCCGCCCAAGTTAAAATGGACGCGTGCAAGCACTGCCTTGCTAAGTTTATTTTTAAAAAGATTGTGTAATTAGCACTAGAATGACAATGCTACTATCAGACAAGGATACATGTGTGTCTAAGCAGACACTAAATACAACATTACAATTAATTTTAGCACAAAGCTCACTGTCATTACTCACATAGAAATACTCAAAGCATGGCGAAATATTCGCTTCAAATGAAACCAATAATATTCATACAGGTTTAGTTTTATATACTTGACATCTGAAACATTGTTTAAATTGTAAATATAGGCATTATAATGTGAAATTCACATTACTCACTGATCTGTATTATTATAAGTCATGATTCTATAATTCGTTTTAAGTCTCAAACTTAGGTGAGTAATGTCGGTTTTCATATAAAGACTGCTATTTCTAACACATAAACACATTGTATTGACAGAGGGCATGTATATAAATCACAGTTAATGTTTTCCATTGGTATTTAGCGAATAATATTCTAAAAAATTTAAACATTTGTAGCAAGTAATGTACTGAAAAGTGCGTTTTGCGTTAATGAATTAATAGTTTTAACGTGGCAGTTACATAAATATCCGCTAATATTTTGTTTAAGTCCGCTGATCGTGCAGGAATCTGTTACAGCTGTGTCTTGATAGTTTTAAGTGCTTTCATAGCAACTTTACTCGTTTGCGATGGGTCATTGTCAATGACAAATATGTGGCTTCCTGGATGTTTACGACAAGCTTTTGCAACCTGATGTTGAAATGATCCCTTAATGAAATTGGCAAAAATAGTCCATTCATTTTTTGGTAATTCCCAAAATAACCCCTTTGCCATAGGCGATGGCGACCATGACGTGCACTCGTCGGCCACCAGCCAAATCCTTGCTCCCAGTGCCTGTGTAAACCTGCCCCTCGCCTTTTTGGCACCAGACTCTAGCATTTCCAGTTGTTTTTGCTGTTCTCAGTGGGTTGTACTTGTGTACAAATGAGACCCAATCAAGAAAGAATGAAACTTCATTTGTCCAAAAATGTTCGTTTACTCTCATGGATTGCTGGATTTTTCTGCCAAATTTTTTTCTCATTTTTTTATCTTTATCTGACAATATTCCTTTCTTCCTCCGATGCAAAAAACCATAACCATAATGCTCATTCAATATTTGTGAAACTGTTCTTCGGCTGGCTATACTTGAAGCAAGGCCAGACTCAGTCATCAGTGACCTAACAGACACATTTGGTTTGCATAATCTCAATGTTTTTAATGCTCTAAATAAAGAATGCATATTTCGTTCGTACAACTTTCTCGGTCTTCCCGTTCTTTTACATAATCTCTTTGATTGTGTTTTATTGATGGCCTCTTCGCATATTCTTTGGCTTGACGACTTTGATATTTTACACAACTTAGCTATTTCGCTGTATGATGCAAGAAATGGGCATAGGTCTTTTGCGTTGCAGTTATCCTGTCCCCAGGCATTGTTCCTTGGTTTAGTTTGAAACACAAATTGATGTTTTTATCAAGGTCACACTAATTATTAGCCAAATTGCTTATTGACATATTAATTTCTTCATAAATTAATATATGAATCGCACAGCAAGATTGTATATCTTCAAAACGGCACTTATTTAACTGACATGCTGAAACCAATAATATTTAGCATGCTGTCCTATTAACTTTTGGCCAAGACTGTAGTTCAGCCACATTTAGGTAGATTGCTAGCTTCTCTATGGGTAAATGAGAGAAACTTGCACATAGATTTCTTGACCCATTCCATTTTTATTGGCATGGGTGGAGATGGTGGTGGGGGTTTAATGCATTCTCTTGAAACTTTGGTCATGTAACAAATTATTCCTCAGTGGACCTTCCCAAGGATTGTTTTTATTCCATATGACTCCCCTCCCATTAAACATGTAGAATTGAAGAAACTGGTTTTTATATTAAGATGGGTGATTGTTCCCTTACTTCCTGCACCTATAATATTGTATCAAACTAAACCAAGTTCTATATAGAAAACACAAATTTTGTAGCAAGTTGTATTTCCCAACAAATTAAAAATGGCTTTTGCACATAATTTAAGAGCTTTATTTAATCATATTTTGAGTAAATAGGTTGCACTTCGTAAGGTTTTTACAATCACTGTACAAACTTTTCGAAAATTTGTCTTGGTCTAATTAAACATTTTAATTCCAGCGCACCCTCATTCATTTAATTCCAGGGCACCTAAATTCATAAACTTTAATAATAGGCCACACTTTTTATCTAGGAATGTCCACATTCAACTTTCAGAGTTCAGAAATTCAGATCATAGCTTATTGGAACTATAGAACCTTGATAAAGGAAAGCATTTTCACACCCATGTGGAACTTTTGTAAAAATTGCTATGAAAAACTCTCTCCTTTATTGCTGCCGAAGGCAGCATTCTATTTTTGACAGTGTTTTTAGTGCCCAGTTTTTTTGACCGGGCTATTAGTCGATTGGATTGAATTTCGATTTTTTGAATTTTAGATCCAGGGGGGGCAAGGGGGGTTGATCATATTGAAATTATTTATTGGTCGTGACGGCGTTAACGCATGCGTATTGTATGACATTCACATGAGATGTTATTTGTGCACATGTTGATTCTTTTTGATTTGGTGGTCGGCTTGAATGGTTGGACTTTTCAAGGTGAGTTTATTCGTTTTTTGAAATACTTATAATGTATTTAGTTTGCTGTGGAAGTATTCATCAGGGCCACGAGTTCTTTACTGAGCAATCCCGTGGATATCAATGCTCCTTTATGTGTTTATCGGCACTCATAACCGCTCAAGAAATACTTTTTGTTGAGTGGAATTCCATTACAATTGACAGCGTTTTATCGCAAGGAGATAGTATGTATCTAAATGCTTTGGAAAATGATCTGATTCCATGTGAGAGATATTTGTCAGTGGATGAATTACCAACTGTTGTTGCATGGTCGAGAAATGATTTTCAGAGGTTATATAGCCAAATGATTGTGCGAAGTAGGATGCTTCCTGAAGAACAGATAGAGCCCATGGTAGAGCTGAATGAGACAGAAAAACAGCTGAATGAGGCAGCAAAACAGCTCAATGAGCCAACAAAACAGCTCAATGAGGCACTAAAACAGCCCAATGAGGCACTAAAACAGCCCTATGAGGCACTAAAACAGCCCAATGAGGCACTAAAACAGCCCAATGAGGCAACAAAATGGCCCAAGGAGGCACAAAAACAACCCAATGAGGTATCAAAGCAGCCCAATGAGGCAGGCAAGTCCCATATACAGCCTATTAAGGCAAACAAAAATATGTTAGCTAATTTATCTGTGGTTGCAATCAATGAAAAACAAGATGATAGAACAATTTGGTATGTACAGTATGGAACAGAACGACAAGGTTCAATTATTAGAAGGGAGCATGAAGTCGGGGCTCCATATGTGAACTTCAGTTCACTAAAAGTAAACATGCTATTTTAATATTAGATGGTTATATGATGGCTTTGATGCATGATGTAAATTTCTTTTACTATTTATTTGATCCTCATGCTAGAAATTCTGTTGGTATGCCTGACCCTAATGGTACTGCAATTACCTTTAAATTTGCCAGTAAGGATGAATTAGAACACTATTTGAAATCTTTGTCAAGTAATTTAAATGCTTATTTATTTGAAATTGTCCCCATTCAATTGAGAGTAATTGGCATTGAGCAAGTAACTGAAAGCCAAAAACATGTACCAAAACCTAAACCCAAAAATGTTAGAATTCGAGGAAATTCACACTCAAGGTGATAATTTACAATACAGAGCAAAGATTATTACTAGGAGAAATGATTCCAGGTTGAACAACCACCAACAGCTACAACTACAAGGATGGCGTGCTAATTGTGATATTCAAGTGGTTATTGATCACTATGCATGTGTTGAATATCTTACAAAATATGCAGCTAAAGGTGAACCAAGGTCACCAATTTTAAAACAAGCATGTAATGCTATTGTTCAAAATGTTGAAAATAATAGTGATCCTCACAGTGCAATAAAGGAGGTAATGATGAAAACTCTTGTTGAACGCGATTATGCAGCTCAAGAGACAATGCATCATTTGCTGTCACTAAAACTTCATAGTTCATCATTTAAGGTTATTCCAGTAAGTCTGAATGGCTCTCGTAAAGTGCGCAACAATGACTTGATTGAACATGGTGATGTTTGTACTGATAATTCACTTCTTGATGTGTATGCTAAACGTCAACAATTTGACAGTTCACAGGCTGTTATAAATATGAACTTTATTCAGTTTGCCACAACGTACAAACTTGTGAACAATGAACTGAGAAAATTGCCAGACAATGTTATTCCTCGGATATTTCCTACTTTCTCTGCCAATTGTAAAAGTCCAAATTTTGACTTGTACTGCAAATATCAACTGCTGAGATACAAACCTTGGAACATAACCCAAAATAATGCATGGGGTGATCAAGAACCAACAAAGGAAATTTTAATTGATTATTGGCATAAGTTTTTGCAAACACCGTATGGACAAACTCATGTGCCAGACTGGTTTGATAAATTACAAATTGTTATTCAAAGTCAACAGGAACCAGCAGAATACCAAATTGGTGCAGATGGAGCCAATACACAGGAGGAATGGATGATTTTATCTGATCTTCATACTTCATTTTCACCAAATGAAATATCACAGTCAACATATAATTGGAACCAAGAACAATACAACCAGCAACAAATTGATGAAATGCCAACATAGATAAAAAGGAAAAAGGATGATTATGTTGTTAATGAACAGTATGAAGTTGTAGATATAAATAGTTTTAGTGAGATGCAAGCACTTGCTTATAGTATGGTGCATTCACATTGTAATGACATTTGTTGTGAAAAAGAGCCATTACGCCTCATTGTTATCGGGGTAGCTGGGACAGGAAAAAGTTACCTTATTAATGCTATTCATAATCTTTTGCAATGTAAATGTGTCATTACTGCAACAACTGGCAAAGCATAGCAAGCAGTTTTAACATAGGAGGTGTCACTATTCACTTGCTGTTGAAACTACCCATTGCATCGCGAGGTAAAAGAGATTTAACAGGGCAAAGCCTATGCAGACTGCAAGAGAATCTAAGTGGAGTAGAATACATTATTATTGACGAATATTCTATGCTTGGTCAAGTTAATTTTGGTTGGATAAATAAACGATGTAAACAAGCAACTGGTTGTTGCAATAAGATTCTTGGAGGAATATCTTTCATTTTATTTGGGGACCCAGGTCAATTACCTCCTGGAGCAGATAAACCTCTTTATCATGCAAAACCCACGGGTGATGTTGGTAAAGAAGGCCATCAAACATATAGAATGTTTGACAAAGTTGTCAAACTCACAGTCAATCAACGAGTGCAAGGTATGAGTTCTGAACAGGTTATTTTCAAAGATTTATTGTTGCGTCTTCGTAAGAGCCAGTCGACAGTAGATGACTGGAAATTACTCTTGAGTCGCCAACCTGCAGTTGTTTCAAATTTATCTGAATTTGATGATGCTATTAGACTTTTTTACAGCAATGAACAAGTTGCAAATTACAACCATGAGCAAATCAAAAAACTTCGAAATGCTAAAGTAATGCTTATTATGAATTTATGGTCAATTGTAATTGATATCATCTTCAAAAACAACCAACAGCCACCTGCATTACCTGTTGCTGTAATTGTTCAATTTGATAATTATAGAGGACCTTCATTTGAGGAGACCTGTCCATCATGTGTACCAATATGCCCAGTAACTGTTTCGTTAGAGACAGAAAGTGGTTTTCATGAGCGACAGCAATTACCTCTTAGACTTGCTTGGGCTCTAACAATTCACAAAAGCCAAGGTCTGACACTTTCAAAAGCTTGGATTGATATTGGGAAATCTGAAAGGACTGCGGAGTCTCTTATGTTGCAATCAGTAGAGTAAAAAAACTGTCATCTTGTGTGATCGAACCAATGACTTATGAAAGGTTAACAAGCATAGGATCATTATCAAATTTGCAGTTTAGGCTGCAAGAAGAAGATAGGCTAGATCGTTTGGCACATAATACATATATACATGAAACAAATCATGTCTGTTAATAACATCAATGCAGTATCATATAATGCTTTCTAAAATTATATGACTTAGTCTAAAATTTACTGCAATATATACAGTTTTCACCTAACTTACAGATAACAATAATATTTACTTTACTTCACCTTGAATCTTCGATTCTTAGATGGTGAGTATGTTATCATTGTTCCCCTGTATTTTATCATTGTTCCCCATGCCTTACCCTCTTTTGCCTGTCATTTTTATAGATCGTACAGCATATGCCTATCCAACAACATGAAACGGCATACAAGAAATGTTACAGAAGTTGCCAAAGGTACATGTAAAATATGCTATAATGGCAATATTTCAGTTCATCGGAAATGACGACGTCATGAGATGTCATGATAAAACTGAGTTATGTGCTAGGAGAAATTTGTCAAACTCTTGGCTCCAAAAGTTTAAAGGGTGCTTAATTCAATTTCCAATACTCCAATGACTGAAGAAGAATATCATTTTTGTATAAAAATAATGGAATTATCTAAATGTTTTAAAGTACAGAATCTATAAGGAAAAGAAGAAATGATAACTCAGTTTTGTCAGGCATTTCGGATTACCTGGTTGTCTTTCAAATTTGGGGTGAATACTAAAATACTTGACATTACTCATTAATATTCACCACAGTTTTATAATGTTGGTAGAACCATAATAACATGAAAGTAAATTGCACTAATGAAGTAATTTATTTAATATTTATAGATGACCATCTTATTTGCTACGTTCATCATGTCACTCCTAAAAAATCCGGAAGCCTGACGTATATGTCATGTGAGCTTCAAACATCTTCTGCAAACCTCAAAGCTGTCTCCTTTTCCCCAGACAAAGTAAATCTGTTAAAAGCAGCAATGACCAGCAAAAGTCCAGTGAAGATAAAGAAGTTTGATATTAATCGCAAATTTAATAACATCGTCATCAGCAGAAACACCGTTATTGAACATTACGAGGAACCGCTCAGTTTTAAATGTACTGATTCCACTGCACCTGTCGCTGTGTCTGACCTCAATGCCATATCTCCAGGGCAATTGGTCAATATTAAAGCTAAAGTTACCCACATACTGGTTCCAAGTTTGTTAAACTAGATAGTGGAACATTGAAGCAAAGCAGAGCTACTCTGGTAGATCCTAGTGGTTCAATTCAAGTAGTCTTTTGGGAAAAGCTTGTTGATTGCATTGAAGACGAGAAGACCTATAAATTTACGAATTTAAGAGTGAAGGAAGATAATCATACCCACGAGAAATTTGTCAACACAGCGAAAGAAAGATGTAAGATCGAACCCGCAACTCCATTTACCCAGCCATTACCTGAAGTACAGATCTCTCTATCCGAATTGACAACAAAGGAAGTAACTATCTCCGTTATTGGTCTTAAAACACTCTCGCAGTTCTATTGCTGTCACACATGATTCAAAAAACTTGAGGAAACAGACACACCAAAGTATTACTGCCGACCATGCAACATAAAACAAAAGCCAAAGGATGAGCATAGCCAGTGGTATTGTAAAATCCGTGTTGAGGATTCCACTTCCCAGAAGTATAACCTTTCAGTGTTCCACCCGGAATTGATCAAGCTAGTTGAAATGCAAGGAAAAGGCCCCCTCTCAACGCTGTTGAAAGATCAACTAGAAGACGAACCTTAAGCATGTAGGACGGCAACACGAAGACGACACGGCTGAAATTCTCCTTTAAATAAATGCTATGGCAAAGTTGTTGTTTTATATTATTAATTGTACCAATTCAGTGAGATATATAAGGCGTTAAAAACATTGTGTTTATGTTTAAGGACAATTCTATATAGCCTAATTTGAGGGAGGGCTCGCTGGGCCTGAAATGCAACCGTTCTAGGCAAGACGTAAAAAACGATGTTTTCCCGTTGTAAACAGAACGAAGACGACGTCTAAAACCCATCATGGGTCTTTAAATATTCATTTCTTTTTAATGACCCATTGTATTGATAGCCGTCGTCGTTGCGTTCGCGTTCTACATGCTTAAGGTCCCTAATGTTCAGCAGGAGAAACTCGTGCAAGTTTTAGACAACACCACTGAACAGAAAAAAGAGTAAAGAGACAAACGAAACAAATGAAAATAACAAGTTTTTAAAAAACTTGTCATATTCTCAGTTCACTTTTGAGTCCGCTTAAAAATCTATGTTGAAATTTTAGGCTTTAAGACGCTTTAAGACGTTTTAAAACTATAATTTTTGTTGGGTTCCTACAGTTTAAAAAGTTTGTATGAAGGTCATTTTTTGCAACTGTCACAATTGTTGGGCTCTGAAATATTATTTGTTACTTTTCATACTGTTCGTTTTTTCACACCCCCCCCCTTCGAATAAAGCCCCCTCTTCTATAAGCCCCCATCATATTACTAACATTTACGCCATTACAAATATAACCCACCCTTCCAAATATATGCCCACCCGTATATAAGCCCACTATATTGGTATATTAAAACTTCATAAAAACCATTCACATAGTCTTAAAAGATTGTTCGTATCCGTTTAATAGTAACTTTAGTATATATATATATATATATATATATATATATCAAATATGTATTTAGAATCATATATGAGTAGAGTGCTCGATATACCAAAGTATAGAGCTAGTATAAAGATAAAATAAAATAAACTTGGTTTACTTCATAAGATTTTATTCACTACAAACTTGTTACGTATGACAAGCAACGCTTGCCACACTCATCAGGTGAATCTAAATGTCGCGCTATGTTGTTGCCAAGGTTATATATACTATATACATGTTTGAGGTAAAACGGAATTTTATCATAATTTACCACCCTGAACTTTGTTCTTTAAACTCAAGAAATGAACTGTTATCGATATGCAGGCATAGAAACAAATTTCTCTTAAGCAATATTACTTGATATAATCTGTATATATTTATATGTAATTTAACACTATAGCTTTCCGTTTTACGTCAAACATGTATATAGTATATATAACCTTGGCAACAACATAGCGCGACATTTAAATTCACCTGATGAGTGTGGCAAGCGTTGCTTGTCATACGAAACAAGTTTGTAGTGAATAAAATCTTATGAAGTAAACCAAGTTTATTTTATTTTATCTTTATATATATATATATATATGATTTTTATGAAGTTATAATATACCAATATAGTGAGCTTATATACGTATATATATATATATATATATATATATATATATATATATATATATATATATATATATATATATATATATATATATAAATTGAAATGCCCCTGATCTTATTGCACTTTCCTGTGTTATAGTTAATGTGATAAGTGTATCAACAATAAGCCTGTACTCCTCTTGGGTAAGTTTTTTTTTACATTGCTTGTTTCATGATTGCAATGAATCGAGCAATTGTATGTTCAGAGACAGCTGTGTCTATATCTTCCATGGTTAGGTTAAACCCACACAACTCATTCCTCCAGGAATTTTGCATTCGTAGAACCTTTTTTTGTTTTGCAAGTGGCTTAAGCCATTCAGAATATTCTGCAATAGCTCTTTTGCATTTCGTGTTAATCTTTGGTTTTTTATGGCCGAGGAATTTCAGGGCAATTGTAATTCTTTCAATCTTTGATTTAAGCCCATCCGGGCCTAAACCAGCATCTTTTGTAGTAATAAGATAATTGTTGAGGGCTTTGGCATCCAACAGCCAATTCCATTTCAGCTTGGTTGGAAAAGAAAAATATAGGAATCTATTTCAAGAAAACAAAATGTCAGTCTCAATTTTATATTTTCGTTGTTTCCTGCAGACAATATCTAAATCTATTAAATACCAACCTGCTAACTTCACTTGCTATTTCATCTGTGCATGCGAGTTGGCCGCCAGATGGCGATTTGAGCCATGAGATGAACTTTTCAAACTTACTCATAGGAAATTTCTTATAAAGGCCTTTACACCTTAGAATCTCAAACGTTTGTTTTCTGCTCGATGGTGCATTTTGTTTCTCTCGCAAGGCTGAAACTGTCATTGCGTTAATTTGCATCGACCCTTGATGTTCTAGATAATTGTCTAACAATTCGTTCTCATGTCTAGTAACGCTTTCTTCCTCTTTCGGTTCATTGGCATCAAAGTCATGTTCTTCTGTTCGTAGTTTTTTACGCTTCGGAGCGACATTGTAGAATCGCTTCTGGTTTTTGCGACGTTTTTTATTTAAGCGTATTCCTCTGCCAAGACTACACGTTATAACCTAATGTCACGAAAGTAATCGGTGATTATTTAATTGTGAATAAAATAGGAAGAAAACGTAAATTCATTCTCACCTTGAAATTTTCCAAATCAATATGTGTTAGTCCTGTTCGTAGAATAAAGTCTGAATAAACCTCTTCAGGCGTTGGAAACTGAACATCTTTAGTTTGTTGAATAATAGAAAAATTTTCTTCCCAAAACCGTGAGACATTTAGTTTGTCATTCATGGTCCAGGGTAATACGAGCAGTTATGCAGGTGTGACATATATCTTTTCCAGTTATGCAGGTGTGACATATATCTTTTCCAGTTATGCAGGTGTATGTAACATATATCACATATCAAAGTGCTTTCCAAACTAACAAACATCCATCCTTGTTCTTTAAGCTTATTCAGTTAAAACAATATTGGCAATGAGTGCAGCCTGCTTACAAGGCAAAGGTTATCGAATTCGTCGCATTCAGGTAATGATTATAATTTTTACGTATTGCTTTGGGCGTTAATGATTGATCCATCTTGGAAGCTTTTTGAACAAGTCCATAACAATTTTTTTGGGATTAGGTGTTGTCAACTGAAGTCTGTCTAACACGCAATTTTACCTTTCTTTAGCGCGCACAGCATAGAGTTGAACGTCAAACCATGCATTCGGTCCCGTTCAGGTATAATCATTAATCTTTAATCAACCTAACTAGATATACTAGCTTTATTTACAGTATACTGTGTGTATTTATAGCATCAAAACTGTTTTTTATGAGAGTTTAGTCTGTCATTAATGAGAGCAAAAAAAACGGAATGGAATAATTTCTGTGCTTCATTTTATCCGTCTATGTGATCCTGAAGTGAGGTTTGGTTTAAATTGTATTAAATTCGCACATCGTGCACATATTTAAAGTGTATATAAAATGTACTCAAAAAAACTCACTACTACCTAGATAATACACCGAAATGGCCAAATATTTTCTTTTTCAGGCTTTACTAATGCGTAGGAACGTTTTTTAAGCACATAAATATAGGCTATTTCGGTTTCAAAAGTGGTACATCTTTTACATGTGGCCAAATTCGCACCCCCCTGATCTCTGACGTAAAAACCTTGACATCGCGGCATATGTAAGTAATGGCGGCAAAATGGAAAATATAAACACTCGAAAGAGAAAGACTGGCGGTAATTATTGTGTGGCTGGTGGCCCTAGCAAGGTTAGTTGTAAGAATAACAGTTATACCGATGGGGTTTCTATGCATTACTTTCCCAAGAACGAAGATCTCAGGAAAAAATGGACGAATTTTGTTCGTAAACATCGAAAAGACTTCGAGCCATCGAAGAAGTCGTGTTTGTGTTCAGTGTACTTTGAAGACAAATGCTACGAGAACCGTCCAAGTATTAGCTTCGCTGACCTACCAAACATCGACAAACCTCCAAGGTTTAAACAGTTTTTGATAAAAGGATCGGTTCCAACAAAGGATGTCGCAGGAAAATCCGCACAATTGTATACACCGCCGAGTGCACGCCAGCGAAGACAAGTAAGCATTTATGACATATAAATCAACAAGATTTATACTAGATTTATATAAATCAAGAAGATTTATACTCTATGAATCATATTAAATTTTCATGAAATTAAGATGAACAGAATTTCGGTCAAAAAAAGTTAAAATAGCAAAGTTTTACATCCACAAGACAACATACAGTCATGTGCAAGTTTTTATTCTTTGAGGTTGTGGGAAAATCGGGCAATTGTGGCCCTGTATACAGAATGATCTGCCCATGACAAATTTTTTCGGAATGTATTAAATTCCCATTTGTGCATACTGTACCGGTACTGTATGTACATTTTTATAGTCGATAATGATGATGCAATGTAATCAAATTTTTTTATCATGCTGTATATATAGATTTTAAAAGAATTGAATGCCTCTCAAGTTGAGACGTTGCCTCATGATGCTAACAGTAGTCCCAGCTCATTACCAAACAAGCCATCAACTGAATGGCCAAGTCCTTCTGTCAGTCCTGTACAACCTGAACCAATCACAAGTGCACCAACCAGTACAAGCAATCTAAGCTCATCTGATCAATACACATGGTCAAGTCCTGTCACCCCTGTAGGAGCTGCTACTACAGTTCTACATGACGACGCGACGGTAACTTCTGCCATTTCTGTCCTTTAACATAGGCCCAACATTTTCAAGTACTGTTCGATTTGTCATGGCTGCATAGTCTTCGTGTTGCGTGACACATTTAAATTTTTCAATCGATCCATCAAATATCAACTTGTGTACAGCTTCTGCAACCTCATGACAACACCTACACTCTCTTGGATTCTGCAGTTGCTCGGTACAGCATTGCCCACACTTACACCTATCACATGTGATGTACATGCATTGAAATATGTCCAACGATGAAAATAAATGCAATATTAGCAGTAAGCTTATACCATTGATCAAAGGGAACTTGACGTTCGAATCTTGAACAAAGAACAGTTGAAGACAGACCATCTTCGTCAAGCTCATCTTCCTCTTCGTCGCTCGAGTTAGCAAGAGGTTTGTCTTGATAAGGTTGCACTCCTCTTACAGTGATATTATCTTCACCAGAATCACTGCTGATTGATTCTGAACTTGATTTTGAGCTTGAAGACTCATCGTGTTCGCTAACGTCGCTCATAGTGGGTATATTATATCTTTTGAACGGTTTGTAATTGTACGTTCGTCTTTTACAAGTAAACAAATAAATATATTTCGATCGCGTGTCAAGGTTTCTACGTCATCAGTGGCAGTTCTAGTTGCAGTCTTCATGACAAAAATTGACTAATTTATTGGTCATTTTTCACTATTTTGCGAAGCAAAATCATTGCTTTCTAAAATTTTTCTGATATTTTTTTGTGGTTTTAGTAAAAAAAAGATAATAAGAAAGAGAAAAAGCGAAGAAAAAAATTTATTTCATATGCACTTTAAATGAAAGTTCTCTTTTATTAACGCGAGATTTAAGAAAAATAATATAAATGCATGCATCAAATCTATATATTTCATTCATCAATCGTTTGGTTTAAACTCTGTATTAAATTCTCGCGACATTACATTGTGTTTGAATTTCTGTTGTTTTTAAATTCCTGTTTGTATTTAATAAACACGTTCATTTTAGGCTTGAATCTTGATCATAAGTTCGGCGTTTCATTTGGTCTTTATCTCTCGCTGACTAGGCTGACATGAGGTGCCACAGACAAGTCAGTTTTCACCTGTGGGTCTTGCGCAGTGAAGATGATAATACCATGCATGTTTATATATTTGTTTGTGAATGAAATCGTCACGCAAGCATAGAGTATAATTTCGCGAGTTTACTTACGATAAGTGTAACTCTGTTTTAACACTCCTTGCTTAGTTATGTGATATTTCTTGCCGTAATGACCTAACCCTAACCCTAATATAACTGTATAATAAAAAACGAAATTTCAAACAAAACGCAAATCGCTCTGAAATTTACAAAATTTATCTGTACCCCAATATACTCAAAATATGGCTGAATTTTGCCCATTTTTGATAATAATGCGAATTCATTCAGGATAAACAAATTTGAAATACCTATATTTTGTCCCCCATATACCGCTAACGGTGGCAAAGGCGCTTTTGGAGATGGATTCTACATCTACGGCAGAACCTTTGGATTTAGGTAGTTAAAACATTTATAATTTATGTCGTCGTTATATTCTATGCATGCAATGCGGGGATGCCAAACCGCTACGGGCATCGACATTTAGGTATTCCCATTTTGTTTCAGGTGAATTGCCGGTGATAAAAAGAGGCGATCGTAACTTATACCCTTTCCAGGAGATGATCGCAACCTATTTTCCCGAAACACTACCAGCAACTGTAAGGACTTGGTTACGAGCAATTGGAAAAACAACAGTGCCAACAGATGTTTCGGAACGTATTTATCTCAGTGAAAAGGGCCTGTTGTCGTCAAATCGATTTCTTATTTACGAAGATGATGTTTTTCAATTGAAAGAACATTCGAAAAGTAGACGTTCGTACAAAAAACACAAACGAACTGGTCTTTTGGAAAAGACTATTGAAACAAATTCAATTCCCACCAGTTGTGTCTTGGATGCATATAGTAATCCGCAAAATTCATGTGCTGAAATGGTCCATTTTGCATTGAAAAACTCGTTAGATCTGAACAGCGGTCTTTCACTGGAAACACCGCTCCCCTCCGAAAATTAAATTTCTACATGCGCTGTCTTAAGATATGTGAACGATGAACTCGGTGAAACATCAAAAAACTCATTAGATCAGAACTGCTCTCTTTCACTGGAAAAAGTTTTTCGCACACAAATTCTAACCAGAGCGCACAACATAAAATGAAATCGGAAAAAATTGGATGTTTAAAGCAAGAACATCAATGCCCTGAGCTAAGAAATAAATTTGAGGAACTGCATAGCTTTTACGCTGTCACAGTGAATCCTAAACGCAATTGTTGCTCCTTTCAGCGTCTACGATGAAAAAGTTCCTAGAATGCTTATAGTATAGAATAGTTGTTTTCTCTATTATTGACGCATTAAATTTCCAGACCGAAAATTAGATTTCACCTGCGTATGCGATGTGAACATTGTTCAAGCTTACCCCACGTACCCACTTGATGAGCGTAAGTTGAAGCCTTCAACAGTTGTCCGGACTTTAACAGCGTTGATAAATCTGGCGAAATTTGTTCATCGTGACCTCGCATGTAGTGAAAATGAATTGGTACATTTAAGAAATGTACAGCGCCAGTTAATGCGACAACAGAACAGTTATCAGTTGGCAGTGAAAGCTGGTTTGGGTAAAGAAAAAAAGTCATCTTTTATGTTCCAGGACCTTTTGGACACCATAAAAAATTGCGAAATAAGGTAGACTCGGGCAGAGGCTCAGCGGAGAATTCACAAATTTTGCATGACTTCGTTCTAATTTCCTTGTATGCCACCTCGATGTGTGGTCGTTCTAAAGAACTCCGGACTCTACAATTGTTTTGCTTTGATTGGGAAGAAAGGAGTAATTATTTGGTGGTATCCGGCAAAAACGAAGACAAGTTCACCTTGTACGAGAACGATTTCAAAACTCTTCGAAGCCATGGGCCTTCGAGATTCGAAATTGAAGAGGCGTCTTGGCTTATTCCTTACCTTAGAGAGTACATAGAGCAAAGAAACGGTCTTCTTGCAAGAGAGACACACGCGTACATGTTTGCAACTCCGACGGGTTTACCATTTACCTCTTCCGCGTTCACAGTATACCTTGGCAAATTGTTCCAAAGAGAAGTTAGCGTTAAGGCAGGGACAACGCAGTTACGGCATGCGTTGGTAACACACGTATTGTCTCTTCCAGAATCTGCAAGCCCGAAGCTGAGAGAAAGTCTAGCAACTTTAATGCGCCATTCATTAAAACACCAAACATTGACTTACTGTGATGTTCCGCGTCAACATCAAACGTCCATGAGTCGAAAGCTTTTGAACAAGAGCTTCGAAGAGGCTGCTGTGGACAAAAATACGTCGTCGTCAGAAACTGTAGTTGAATGTTCGGAAATCGCACCTTCGAGCGGAACTGTTGTGACCCTTGGCGATATGGTTGCTTTATTACAAGGGGAGGCAACATGTTCCAGCGATGCTTCGATCTCTTTGGCCAGAGTCGTCAAACTTTCACCGGACAAGAAACAAGCGATGCTGATGGAATTCCGTAATATCGAGGGTAGTCGAACATTGTTCAGAGCAGTAGTTGGTCATCGCAGCTGGTGGGAGCCTCTCGATTCGTTAGTGTTTCCAATCGACCTTGTTTACAACGACAGCGAGCGAGCATACGAATTGCGTTCATCCATCGAAGAAATTTATGACGCTGCGATTTCGGTAGGGACTGGATGACTGGTATGTATATTTATATAATGTATAATATGTAATTTTGCTGTTTCGCCCCATATCAGGGCTCATCAGTGCGCCTAGAAATCATCGTATTTGATTTCGACGCAGACAGCATTGTTAAGAATTTAATTTCGAGAGTATAGGAAATTATCTCAGTTTCCTTTGTGATAAATCGGTTTAATATATATCGGCCGGATGCTATATCATGTAAGCTTTTTGGAATTGATTGAAACGAAATGTTCATGTTCTACTGTTTCCGGCCTCGGCTAATCTCAGCTATTAAATAATAGCATTCATACACATTTATATCACTTGTATGAAGATGCCTTAGGTTAAAGACGAAACGTTACAAATATATTTACTTTTAACCTTTAAATTGTTTTCATGGCTTTCCTAAATGTTATATGTGTTAATATTAAAATAATAACATTATATAGCATTGCCCGGCAGGAAATTTGTGTCCACAGAGATATATAATGTTGAAAGTACGGAAAGCAAATTAACAATACTCAAAACATCACATAAAATAACATAACATAACATAGTTATGAAGGCTTAACACAGATAATGAAGGAAGAAGATTGCCTACCTACGGGAGGACATTTCACGCAAACCTCTAAAGAGAGGTATACATATCAGCTGTATTGATACGATGATAATTGTATCGATTTAATTCAAACAGCATGTGCATGAGCAAACATTTCCTGCTTTACTGGGCTTTGATTCATAAAAAGAGAAGCGATAAAATTATCAGAAAGAGAGTCACATTCCGATTATAGTATAGCCTCTTGCCCAGTGGGACATAATTGATATAATGCATTTCAGCAGTTAATTTACTTGGATGATGTGAGCAAACATTTTTCGCAATATTGCATGGGCTTTGGCATTCGGAAATGATGTTTGAAATAATGAAAAGAAGTTATATATGTATATATATATATATATATATATATATATATATATATATATATATATATATATATATATATATATAATATAAATATATATATATATATCAAATATGTATTTAGAATCATATATAGTGTGCTAGTGAGTAGAGTGCTCGATATACCAAAGTATAGAGCTAGTATAAAGATAAAATAAAATAAACTTGTATGAGTGTGGCAAGCGTTGCTTGGCATACGAAACAAGTTTGTAGTGAATAAAATCTTATGAAGTAAACCAAGTTTATTTTATTTTATCTTTATATATATATATATATATATATATATATATATATATATATATATATATATATATATGTTGAACATGATTTGCTCCAAAATAAATTTGGAGTTGCAACACAGGTAATAATATAGGCAAAAATGTTCTTCGTGTTTACTATACTCACCCTTGACGGGCATATTCAAACCTAAGAATGTAAATTTGTCCCTTTCCCTCACCAGCTCACTCGTTAAGAGTGCCTAGGCCTTGGGACCCTAGGAGGCGGTTTAAAAGGAGAAAGGAACACACACACAGCCCAAGCCATACGTCCATCCAAAGCGTTCATCGGCTTGAATGTGAGAGATCGATTTTACGTATTTATCAGTGCGAATGTACATTCTTAACATATCAAATGTCCAAGTGCCACACAACTCATCTCATCGTCGTCATGAACATTCTTACAATGCAGGAAATAAGTATAGTTAAAAATACGTAGGTATATTCCGCGCCAAGTACTTTTGGTTATTAGGAACCTACGTCTACAATACTCTGTAGGATTTCTATATTGTTGAACATGATTTGCTCCAAAATAAATTTGGAGTTGCAACACAGGTAATAATAT